TCCTTACATATTCATTGGCACAACTCTGAAAAAACTAAGTCATAAAAATAGAAAGTTGCTGATTACATGGCGATTACAGCAGCTGGGTAACCATGTACTAATGTGACATAAGGCAGCAGTTAATTGAGAGACTAAAGTTACTTGGAGTACAAATGCAAGTCTAAAATGTGAAATCTGTTGGTTTTAGATCAAAGAATTTTTTTCTTCACTAATCACACTTCCAATTATTTTGATTTCTGATGTAAGATATATTTAAGACTCTTCATAAGAAAAAAGTACAATGTGTATAATTTTGTCAAATCTTGGGAATTAATCAGTGGAAGCTGAATTAGCAAATTCACTTCTTTAGTAAAAGAAAAAAACAAATCAAGGGTTAAGCCTACTTGCCCTCTTTGTAACTTTATGCAACGCTTTATTCTGAGGCTTTAAAATTTAGAGCCTGTTTTTAGACATAAAAGTTCTGTTATTTTAAATATGTTTTAATCGACTTGTGAATTCAATAAACTTATTTCTTTAAAGAAAAAATTTTCTATTTATAAAAGCAATACATGTTGTTGCAGAAAACACTGCAGAAAATATTGAATAGTATAAATAATATGAAAGCATCCATAATTTCATCACTTAGAGTACATTATGGTTAAGATGTCTGTGTATGGTTTCTGAACCTTTAAAAACATAAACATATATATGTGTATGTGGTTCTAATAAGAAATAATCAAAATATTACATATATACATACAACATATGTTGTTTAATTTTGGAATTCTCAGTTTACCTTTTTTCCATATAATAATGTTCTTCATGTCAAAACAGACCACATCTTCATTTTTAACAGATGCTAAGTATGCTGATATAAGGATGTAATGTAATCCCCTATCAAAAGGCATGTAGGTTATTAGTTAACCTTTAAGAGTGATAGGTTCACCAGGTGAGGTGGCTCACGCCTGTAATCCCAGCACTTTGGGAGGCTGAGGCGGGTGGATCAACTGAGGTCGGGAGTTTGAGATCAGCCTGACCAACATGAAGAAACCCCATTTCTACTAAAAACACAAAATTAGCCAGGCATAGTGGTGCATGTCTGTAATCCCAGCTACTGGGGCAAAAGAATCGCTTGAACCCAGGAGGTGGAGGTTGTGGTGAGCTGAGATAGCACCATTGCACTCCAGCCTAGGCAACAAGAGCGAAAATCCATCTCAAAAAAAAAAAAAAAAAAAAAAAAAAAAGAGTGATAGGTTCATGAAGAAGAAACTGGATGCTTAAATCTTAAGTTCAAATAGCTTTCTTCTCTTACAAAGCTCACAGATAGATCTAGACTAACAGGTTGCCTTATTGTTGGTTTATCAGAGAAAATTAGTTTTAAAGTCAACCAGCTCATTTTATTATTTAACATTATCTAATAATATGACTTTTATAATTTCAACGAAATAATCACAAATTACGATAATTGGTTCAAATAAACACATACCCATATATAAACTGGTAGTCATTTCTAGAGTGATAAAGAGTTGATGAAAAGTTCCTAACAATTTCATATATATACTCAAAGTAGCCATGTGCTAAATAAAAGCATACATTTAGATTAGCTGAGTAAAAAGTACTGAATGCATACTTCAAGCATATCATGCTTCAGAATCACATTTTCAACCTAGATGAAGTTGTGAAGCTGGAAACATAATGCTTCTAACATTCTGAAGTACCATGTCATTAAAAAACTGTCCTTGCTGTTTTGAATGCTTTTGGAAGGCAAAGGGTATAAAAACAAAGGATTATCAGAAAGTTATTTCCATTAGGAACACTAAACACTTAGTATGTACAACCAGCAAATTTGAAATCCAATTCAGTCATTAGGGAAATGCAAATTAAAAACCAAATGAAATACTACTTAACAACCACTAAAATGGGTATACTAAAGATAGTAACAATAGTTGGTGAGGATACTGAGAAATTGGAAGCCTCATGTATTTCTGATGAGAAAGTAAAATGGTACAATTTTGGAAAACAGCTTGGTAATTTCTTAAAAACATAAATATAAACTTACCATACAACCCAGTGGTTCCACTCCTAGGAATCTACTCAAGAGAAATAAAAACATATGTCTACACAAAATTTGTATGTGAATGTTCATAGCAGCATTATTCATAACAGGCAAACATGGGAAACAACCCAAACGTCCATCAACTGATGAATGGAAACAATATGTGGCATATCCTTAAAATGGAATATTATTCAGCAATAAAAATGAACAAAATACTGAAATATCCTACAATATGAAGAACTTCAAAAATATTACACAAAATAAAAGCCAGAAAGAAAAGATTCATACTATATAAGTCCATTAATATAAAATGCCCAGAAAAAGTAGCAAAATTAACTTTCTAACAATTACCACCATTATCACCATTTTTTGGGTATCAATATATTCCAGTGCCTTGTATCTTAAAAGAAAAACTTACTGGTCGGGTGCAGTGGCTCATGCCTATAATCCCAGCACTTTGGGAGGCTGAGGCGGGTGGATGATGAGGTCAGGAGTTCAAGATCAGCCTGGCCAAGACAGTGAAACCCTATCTCTACTAAAAATACAAAAATTAGCTGGGCACGGTGGCAGGTGCCTGTAATCCCAGCTACTCAGGAGGTTGAGGCAGGAGAATCACTTGAACTTGGGTGGGGCAGAGGTTGCAATGAGCTAAGATCACACCACTGTACTCCAGTCTGGGCAACAGAGTGAGACTCCATCTCAAAAAACAAAAAAATAGAAAAAGAAAGAAAAGCTTAATGGCAAATGTCAACATCAGTGATTAAAATCTGGACTCATACATCAACATTTTACTTGATACAGTTTTATCAACAACAACAACAACAACAACAACAAAACTAGGATTCATCTAGTTTATACACAGGTTAAATGCTTTTAAAAATATTTCTCTTGCTCCCTGACTTTGGTATATTTTAATTCTTAGTATCCCTACTTAAAATGGGCAGGGTAGAAGAAAATTGTCAAACTCTGTAGTATAGCAACTAATGATGTTAAAAGCATAACTAACAAAATATTTCAAAAAAATACGCATATTCCTGTGATCCATGAATAACCAAGAGTTGTCTAAGAAAAACAAGATTCATTCTAATTTCTCTCAACTTCTTTAAGAAATATAGAAGAAGATACTTCATTTGAAGGACTAGAGTAGTAAGAATGATATATACTAGCCTATTAATAGCATATATCTTTGAGAAAGTTTATTTTCCTCTACACTAGAACGTGTTTTGGCAATAGAATGACATTCTGTTTTTAGTGTAGTGTCTAGAGGCTTTCTGGTGACTGACAGGATTTTAAAGACTGAACTATATCTGAATTGTAAGATTAAGAACTAAAAATAGGGCTGGGCGTGGTGTGGCTCATACCTGTAATCCCAGCACTTTGGGAGGACCAAGGGAGCTGGATCACTTGAGGTCAGGAGTTGGAGACCAGCCTGGCCAACAAGGAGAAAAGTCTGTGTCTACTAAAAACACAAAAAATTAGCTGGGCATGGTGGTGGATGCCTGTAATCCCAGCTACTCAGGAGGCAGAGGCTGGAGAATGTCTTAAAACCAGGAGGCGGAGGTTGCAGTGAGCCAAGATGGAGCCACTGCACTCTGGTTTGGGTAACAAGAGCAAAACTCTATCTCAAAACAACAACAACAACAACAAAAGCAAAAATTAGCCTGGAGTGATGGTGCCTGCCTGTAGTTCCGGCAACTCTGGAGGCTTGAGGTACAAGAACCACTTGAACCCAGGAGGCAGAGGTTACTGTGAGGAGAGATTGTGCCACTGCAATATAGCCTGGATAGAATGAGACTCTGTCTCAAAAAAAAAAAAAAAAAAAAAAAAAAAAGGAGTTTAAAGAAGATGTAGAAAACGTGAATGGATTTCCTGAGCCAAAACACTAACAAAATACTTAGCCCAGGAAAGAGATATTTTGTAAAATAAAATGTTTGCAATGATTTTTGCAGATTGGTTAGCTATGTGCATTTTAAACTGTAAAACTACAATTAAAAAGATAAAGTAGGACATCTTAAAAAACATATTCTAACACTGTAATTGGAAAACTTCTAAGAAAAGGTATTAAAAACCAAGAAAGATGTAGAGTGAGCTTCTGTAATTGCACCAACCTTAACTGGAAAACTGATGCAGACCTAAGGTATTCAAAATGGAATGCACATGATCTCAGGGAGGGACATGATGCACTGAGGTGCTTCTTAGAGTTACAGAAATATCGCAATAATTTTTCTGACAGTAAAAATTTAGGAGAATACATAAGGACCTTGGTCAAAAGGGATTTTTGTAAACAAGATAATTTCCTATCAAATGGAATCATAGGTTTACCAAGAATGCCTGTAAGTTTGATTTTAGTTCTTCACAAGTATATATGGTGTATACTAATAACAAAATTTCACTAATTTGCTAGCATCCACTATCAGTAAATTAATCCATTCTTAATTACCTTAAACCTAAAAAAGCTACCTTTTTTTAATTGAAGTAAGTTTTTGATAATGGTTGTGCTCTTGGAAATAATAACCCCACAGTGAATGGCAGCAGGTACAATTTAGATCAGAAGTATCAATGCAGTAGAGAAAATTTACTAATTTGATGGCCATACATACACCTGTTCAAAAAGTCCATTATTTGTTTTAGGTTAAAGATATATGCTAATCTGCATAACTGATGTAAGTACCAAGGCAACAATTCATTCAAAATGACTAATTAAACATAACTCAAGTGGCCTCAGAAGCAATAAGCCACAAACTAAAATTAAACAATATAAATAAAAGACAGCCATTTTTCCTCCTTTTGCTAAAAATTTGACAATTTTTTAAAGAGCTGAAGAAATCTGCATGTGTTAGAGTGATAAGAACCAAGAATAAAATATGGGGCATAAATTCAGGAATAAATTATAACACATTCCAAAGTTTTTGCTGTTTCAACACTTTGAAAAAAACAGTTAAAGAAGGTTTAATTCTAACATTACCGTTGAAGCAGACGGTGGATTTGATGACTGCCCTTGATGGTTCCTTATGTGCTGGTTTAACCCACTGGGATTTGAAGACGGTGTTGTAAGAAGCTGGCTACTGGCTGCAGGTTGCGAAGATGACTCTACTTTGTGGGTCGTATTTGAGCCATCCAATCTGCTACTTCTCTCTATGGCAATCAGGTCACGAATTTTTTGCAGCTGCTCCACTGAAGCTTTTTTAGGAAAGATGAGATGCGTTTCTCCCTGGAATTTATAAAGAAAAAAAATGTGAACCTTTGCTTTATGCAGTCATTCTTTTGTACACAGACACACACAGACACACACACACACACACACACACACACACGGTGGGGGAGGGGGAGAGGGCGAGCAAGAGGGAGAGGGAGATGGGGGAAGAGAGAGAGAGAGAGAGAGAGAGAGAGAGAGAGAGAGAGAGAGAGAGACAGACAGACAGACAGACGGACAGAGAGGGGTATAATGAAGCCAATAGTATAGAATGCATATTTCTACAATCATACTGTTTTCTTACCATTATGGTACTTTTTAAATACAGTCTAAGGTAAATAATACCTCAATATAAACCAGAAAATTAAGAAAATATATTTCCTTTTTAGTATTTAATCCTTAGCCTATTTAATGGGGTTTAAAGGACCTTCAAGAAAAAATATTTGATTTTCTAGGAACAGTTAAGTCAGAAGGCCTCCTAAGAGTTGCAAAAATGCATATTCCTAATCTCTCTGCAATAGTATATGACACTACTATTCTCTATGAAATTCCCTATAAAATAATAAGTAGAGATACAGCCACACAAAAGAATCCAGGGTCACATAAAACCAACAAGAAGTTAAATAACGGCCGGGCGCAGTAGCTCATACCTGTAATTCTAGCACTTTCAGAGGCCAAAGGGGGCAGATCACGAGGTCAAGAAATTGAGATCATCCTGGCCAACATGGTGAAACCCCATTTCTAGTAAAAACACAAAAATTAGCTGGGTGTGGTGGCGCATGCCTATAGTCCCAGCTACTTGGGAAGCTAAGGCAGGAGAATCATTTGAACCTGGGAGGTAGAGGTTGCAGTTAGCTGAGATGGCACCACTGCACTCCAGCCTGGTGACAGAGTAAGACCCCATCTCAAAAAAAAAAAAAAAAAAAAAAAAGAAATAAAGAAAAAGAAGTTAAATAACCACCTTTGAATCTTCTTTTTTTTTTTGAATCTTCTTAATCTGAGTCTTTTTTTTTTTTTTCTCAGAGACAGGGTTTCACCATGTTGGTCAGGCTGGTCTCGAACTCCTGACCTTGTAATCTGCCTGCCTCGGTCTCCCAAAGTGCTGGGATTACAGGTGTGAGCCACTGCGCCCAGCCTTAATCTGAGTCTTTAAAGAATAGCCACATGATTAGAAGTCTGTGTATGGGGTCCACTAATTTTTCCCAAGATAACAAAAAGTACACCCCGATAGTGAATCCAAAACCATGGACAGTTAACAGAAACAGGAAGGTCATCCAAACAAAACAAATAAAAACTGTATCTTTGAGTAGCAATTCATTTAAATAATAACTATAAGATGCTAAGAATGCTTTAAAATAAAATGCTACAACAAATTCTATAATGTAAAACAGTCAGTAAATTATAAAACAAGAAAAAAGGTGAAATGACCATGTATTTGATCAAATTTCCAGGTATTGAGAACAAACAATGTTAAAACAGTAATTTCTCCAACTAGAAATGAGATAAAACGTTGCAGCCCAGTGCTCACACCTGTAATCCCAGCGCTTTGGAGGGCGAGGCAGGTGGATCATGAGGTCAGGAGTTCAAGATCAGCCTGGCCAACATGGTGAAACCCTGTCTCTATTAAAAATACAAAAATTAGCCAGATGTGGGGGTGGGTGACTGTAATCCCAGCTAATAGGGAGGCTGAGGCAGGAGAATCGCTAGAACCCAGGAGGTGGAGGTTGCAGTGAGCTGAGATCATGCCACTACACTCCAGCCTAGGCAACAGAGTGAGACTCAGTCTCAAAAAAAAAAAAAAAAAAAAAAAAAAAGTTGCTACATCATGTAGCACACAGACCTGCAGATCATGAGCATTTAAATTAAACTCCACAACTGACAGTATTATTGTATTTCCCTGATAATGGTAGACCTATAGGAATCAACAGAGCAAGACATTACTCAATGACATGAAAGTCAATTCCATCCGAATCCTTTGTAAATTTTAAACTATATTGACTGTGATTTTTAAATGTCCAACTGGTGAAGGAATAACTATTTCTATAGATTCCTAAAATGAATTAATTAAAAAACATTATCTTATTCAATTATTCACCAACATGATAATGACTGCTTTGTGAATGAAGAGGGGAGGGGAAATCCTTGAACATACTTACCTCTTCAAAGCCCATTTCAAATAAACATTCAACAGCTCCTCTGACAGGCAAGAGTCTAGTAGAAAAAGCTGTGTTTCCAATCCGGATGGATCTATATTTTTCATCATTAGGATTTCTGACAAAAAACAAATATAATGATTTATATTTTTCAGTGTTTTTGTATTTTAAATATTTTATTCTGACTACATTCGTACATGGTAGCATACACTCCAACTTCAAAAAACAGGAAGCAGTCTGGAAAAGTAGTCCAATTTTGTGACTCTTCAGTACACATCTAGTAATTTCACACCTGATAATATTAATGCTGCCGTAAGGAAAATCGATGTGACAACTTAATTCTGTGCTGTTAAGGCTAGACACCTTTATGGGTCTTTTAGTTTGTTTTAAAAAAAAAAATCCATATAATCTCTGAACAGGGGCAAAAAATTTAATCTGTTTTGTTGTGATGAATCCTCATCATATAGAATGATGCCTAGCACATAGATAGTGGTTAACAAATATTCGGGAAACAAATGAAAGAAACTAAAAAGCATATAAAAACAGGTTGGCCAGATGTGGTGGCTCATGCCTGTAATTCCAGCACTTTGGAAGGCGAAGGCGGACAGATGATGAGGTCAGGAGATGGATACCATCCTGGCCATAGTGAAACCCCGTCTCTACTAAAATACAAAAAATTAATGGGTGTGGTGGTGCACACCTGTAGTCCTAGCAACTCAGGAGGCTGGGGCAGGGGAATCACTTGAACCTGGGAGATGGAGGCTGCAGTAGGCCAAGATCGCACTACTGCACTCCAGCCTGGTGACAGAGCAAGACTCCATCTCAAAAACAAAAAACAGGACATGGCTGGGTGTGCTGGCTCATGCCTGTAATGCCAGCATTTTGGGAGGCTGAGGTGGGTGGATCACAAGGTCAAGAGTTCGAGACCAGCCTGGCCAACATAGTGAAATCCTGTCTCTAATAAAAATACAAAAAATTAGCCCAGCAAGGTGGTACACGGCTGTAGCCCCAGCTACTTGGGAGGCTCAGGCAGGAGAGTTGCTTGAACCTAGGAGGCAGAGGTTGCAATGAGCTGAGACTGCATCATTGCAATCCAGGCTGGGCAATGGAGCAAGACTCCGTCTCAAAAAAAAAAAACACCAAAAAAACCAAAAACCAAAAAACCAGGTCATAGGTCTTCAAAGACTTTACTTTCAACAAATATGACCTAGGCATACCTTTATAGTCACTTGATTTTCTTCCCTACACCAATGACTGTTTATACTGTAAAAGTTCTGCTTCAGTTTAAGACACATTATTTATTTATTTATTTTGAGAAAGAGTCTCACTCTGTCACCCAAGCTGGAGTGCAGTGGCATGGTCTCAGCTCATTGTAGCCTCTGGCTCCTGGGTTCAAGCAATTTTCCCATGTCAGCCTCCCAAGGAGCTGGGATTACAGGGGCAGTGCACCAGGTCCAGCTAATTTTTGCATCTTTTTAGTAGAGACCAGGTTTCACCATGTTGGTCAGGCTGGTCTCAAGCTCCTGACTTCAGGTGATCCACCTGCCTTGGCCTCCCAAAGTGCTGGGATTACAGGCATGAGTCACTGTGCCTGGCCCAAGATACATTCTTGACACAGAAAGTATCGCAAAAGGAAGATATAAATTTCTTTTATCATAATTAAGGTTTTGAATAGTACGCTTGGGACAAGTAACCAGCACACAAAAAGCTTTCATTTGAGATTTTTAATTTCCTTGATAAATGAGAAAGATTGTTTAAAAAAATCATTGAAAGAATGTAAGGTTAAGATAAAAACAGTATTATATTCAAAGACCCTCAGAACATAGTTTAGGATGATAAGTTTCATATCTGACACCAACTGCCTTAAAGTGATAGTGACTTCTTTAAGCACTATGTTAAGAAGGATTCTGAGGTAGTGTCTGGGATCCATAGGAAGATGTACTTCCATAGGAAGACATCTGCCTGGAATATGGCATGGTGGGTGGGAAAATGCTAGCAAATGACATATCAACTTGTCTTATCCACACATATTCTCTAGGTATCCTGACATAAAAACAAAACCAAAAACCAAATATTTTAATTGCATAAGTTTTAACAAATTTTGCATTTTTCAACAGTCAACTGCCTATTGCCAGTGTCATAAATACTAAATGAACATTTTTAAACTTTTCCCTAGTTTCAAAAATCATACAAGTTTACTACAGAGTATTCAGAGACAAAAGTTCTAAAGAATACTATTCAAAATTTCCAGATTGGTGCTAATCTACAAATTATTTGCTACCCATACACAAGAAATACAGATTTTGTTTGTTTGTTTGTTTACAAGGGCATACAACTGAAACAAGAAGTATAGAAATTGAATGTTTAGTATATAGCAATTTGATATTGCCATGAAATTTTCAGTGTATTTTACAAAAGTTATAGGTCCATAAAGGACTGGAAATTAAAAACAAAAACATGTTCTTTACCATATGTAATTTGAGAATCAAAAATGGTTGTGAAACAGAAAGAAAATTTTATTCTCAACTCTTTATTCTGTGTATTAGATTAGGGTTTCTCAGTCTCGGCACCATTAAAATGTGGGGCCTTTATTCAGTGGAGATTCCCTGTGTACTGCAGAACATTCAGCATTCCTGGCTTCTATGCCACACTGAGTTACAACTGAGCCTCTCTTTCTTATAACTTAAGAAAACTGAACTATAAAATAATCCTGTATTTATCAAAGCTAGTTTTAGGCAAATGAGGCATGTCTTTTCCTGACAATGTATTTCACAGGGTGATAAACATGTCAGTACCACCAGGATGATAATATCTTACTGGTTCAAAACTGCTTGAGCTATTTTAATCTATTCTTTTCCCAACAGCTTTCAGATCTCTACATGCTCAGTCTTTCTCTGAGCTGATTTTCTATTCTTATAAAATATATATCAGTTGTTCGCATATAGTTTGTTTTTTAAAAAACAAAGTCTTGCTCTGTCACTCCAGCTGGAGTACAATGACGCCATCACAGCTCATTGCTGCTGAGAACTCATGGGGTCAGCAATCCTCCTGCCTCAGCCTCTGAAGCAGCTAGAACTACAGGAGAGCTACCACGCTTGGCTAATTTTTTTTTTTTTTTAAAGAGATGGGGTCTCATTGTGTTGCCCAGGCTGCAATTCTTCCACCTGGGGTGTCCTAAAGCCCTGGTATTACAGATGCGAGCCACTTTGGCCTTTGTTGTTCTGATATACGTTGTTTCAATTTAACTATTGATATACAGTACAGTATAGATTTTTCCCTTTAGTTTCTAGTGAGCATTCTGTTTGTTTGTTTTTTATTTTTTAGACAGGGTGTCACTTTGCTATCCAGGCTAGAATGCAGTGGCATGATCATGGGCTCAAGCAATCCTCTCACCTCCACCCACCTAGTAGCTGGGACTACAGGTATCTGCTACTGCGCCTGGCTAATTTTTTTATTTTTTGTAGAGATGGGGTTTTGCCATGTTGCCCAGGCTGGTCTCAAACTCCTATCCTCAAGCAATCCACCTACCTTGGCCTCCCAAAGTGCTGGAATTACAGGCATGAGCCACCAAGCCCAGTGAGCAATTTTATTTTTGTATCATCTCTGGACCTCACATTAATCTATTTTTCTCAGTAAAAGTATACTGCGAACAAGGTCAAGCAATGACAGCCACATCCAGATCTTCAAATTTTATCTTTTTCCTATTAAATATGTTGAGTAACCTGACCATGGTTTTGTGGACAGACTGATACCAAAGGCCTGACCGGGAAGCCCTCAAAGATTTAGAGGGCTGTAGGGACATTAGACCTCAAACCCGTCATATCCTGTTTCCTATCCTTGGAAAAGCAACACAGAAATACTTTCTTAAACTCTTAACTTCTCAGCATTATTCCAGTGTCCACTATCCTTGAGCTCACTGCCACACTCCTTATCTTTCAGAATCTAAGGAAACCCTAAGAATTACCTTCAGTGTGACTTGATCTTCTATTTACTTTGCTATCTAGAACTCTCTGTATTTGCTATAACACTTTGCTATGCTTTCCCCCCATTTTTACTGTCCATTAACTATTTCTGCAACCTGTAATATTTGTCTTGTTAGCAATTACTGTGTAGCACATTTGCTTGGGAATTTTTGTGAGTTGTTGATGATGTTGAATGCATGGGGTCCTGAAAGAACAGTAAAATTTCCTGTATCTCACTCAACCATCACTTTGAACATATTCTGGTGTCTTCCTAGTTGTCTTACCCCCTTCGTTATTTACCAAATTTAACTCATAGACAATTATTCTTAGGTTTTATAAATGAGTGGTTGGATAATGCCATATTTTTCCCTTCAAGAGTCACAATCTACCATATTTCTGAGACTGTAAACTATGTTAATAGAAGGCAACAATAATAGCATGTCAAAAGAAAGAAAAACCTAAGTGTTCATCTCTATTTTTCGAATTTCAGAAACACAGAATTAGATATATCTGGTCATTTACTAGCCATCTTCCTCTTTCGAATGCACAAATTCCAGGAAAAGTCCTCTCTAGTTTCTTTCCCATTTCTCAGAAATGAAAACTTAGTACAGGAATGTATCCTATAATGTGGTATTTTTATTACTAATCACAAAAGTTGGTTTGTGGGTTATTTAAGAATTTATATCTAGTCCCTCTGAAAATCTGTTATTCTGAGACACACCTAAAATTTTCAAAAACATTTATCTGTCTCAAATATGGGAACCATCTCTGGCTCTAATACTACCATTCTCTGTTGTGACAAGGGAAACTTGTACATCTCATCTAGTCTGTTTAAAATGCAAAACCAGCCTGGTGCAGTGGCCCATGCCTGTAATCCCAGCAATCTGAGAGGCCAAGGCGAGCAGATCACCTGAGGTCGGGAGTTTGAGACCAGCCTGACCAACACTGAGAAACCCTATCTCTACAAAAAATGTAAAATTAGCTGGCTGTGGTGGCGCGCGTCTGTAATCCAGCTATTCGGGTGGTTAAGGCAAGAGAATCCCTTGAATCCAGGAGTCGGAAGTGAGCCAAGATCGCGCCATTGCACTCCAGTCTGGGCAATAAGAGCGAAACTCCGTCTCAAAAATAAAAATAAAATGCAAAACTAACCGTAACA